CCTGAAGCAGTTTGTCTCTGGTTCAGTGGAGAGCAGTGAGTGAGCGCACGTGGCGAATGGGGAGGATGGACGCTAGTAGTACTAGCATGGCAAGTACAGACTCACCGGATGGCCTCCCCATCCCATCGCCCTCCTGGACCAGTTCCTGAAGACACATACTCACCATGTCCAGCTAACATGTTTCCAGGTGTAGCCCAGAGATGTCACATGACAACAAATCATGTGCTTTTTTTTTTTTTTTTTTTTTTTTTTTTGATCCGGGAAGGTGAGAAGATGCAGGTGAATGCTGAGGAGGTGGTGGTCGGGGATCTGATAGAAATCAAGGGTGGAGACCGAGTGCCAGCTGACCTGCGCATCATCTCAGCCCACGGCTGCACACACCCGGCATATCCTGTGTCTTCTTAAAACCACCTTCCTCTAGTTCTTTTCCACACATTCAGAAGGAAGTGGAAGACACTCATCTTGTCCCCCGGCTACAGATCAATGTTCTTTGGATACAAAGGGGAAAATCTCTCTTGCTGTGTCAGGGCCATAGTTATGCTGGTCGGGGAGTTTCTTGTGTAGGGGAGTGACCACAGGGGACAGGCAGTTATGGGGCATCCAACAGATGAAGTCTCACTGTGTTCCTCCCTTTCAGCTCCTGCTGACCTCACAATAGTGAGATCTCCACCTGCCAGATGGATTAGAGGGCCTGTGTGTGTGTGTGTGTGTGTGTGTGTGTGTGTGTGTGATGGTTTGTTTTTCGTTGTTGCTCTCGGCAGTTTTGCAATGCAGAGCCAGAGCTGTATTTTATGTTCTCAATCCTCTCACTTTTGAAGAAATGAGAAGGCTGTTTCCTGCCTATAATGAGGTCCGTGTTTCTCTCTGTAATTCCCATTCTTTCCCAATCAGTACACCAAGCATGGGCCTCTGACTGGTTCACTTATTAGCACGAGATCTTGGGGAAGCTACCTAGCTACTCTGAGCCTTGTTTCTCATCTATAATAGAGGATAATAAGCTATCTTGTTGGGTCATTACTTCAATTAAAATAAGTTAAATGAGATAAGGTTTGTAAAGAGGCATTATATGTTATCAAATTTACTATCATTATTCTAATTTTAACTTTTAAATCAGAATGGATATCTAAGACTTACTCCCAATCCCTTAACCCTCTCATTTCTCTGTAAGACTCTGGCTGTTGAGTTGTTTACTTCTGGGATGATAAGATACAGTATACTTGTGTTTGCACTATCCCCATATCCTCTGTCTAGGCAACCTCTCTTTATAATTAATCCGGAATGTGACTTACTCACTTTGGTATAATATTTGGGTTTTGATTCCAAGTCTCACTAACTTCTGATTTTGACCAATTATAATAATGAGATGATAGCAGTTATAATTAACACTTGTGTGATCCTCACTGTATGCCTGGTACTCTTCCAAGCTGTATGTGTGCACTAATCCTCCTGATGAGTCCAATTAGTGTCCTCAGGCTGCAGATGAGCAAATGGAGGCACAGGTGTCATCAAAGACACTCAGAATAGTCACGGATTCTTTAGTCCATTTGTGTTGCTATAATAAAATGCCTAAGTCTTGTGGTAAGTTATAAAGAAAATAAATTAATTCAGCTTACAGTTCTGGAGGTCAAGGGACATGGTTCTGTCATCCTCTTGGCTTCCTATGGGGGCCCCATGGTTCAAGGTGGAAGAGCGGAAGGCAAGTGGGTATGTGGAGATGAGCAAAAGGGTTCTACAGATTGAAGGAGATGCTGGGCTCACTTTAGAACAGTTCGCATTGTTTTGGTAAATAAACAACCAATCAAAGCTTCATTTACTTCTAAGAGAAAGTCATTAATTTCTTGAAAGACCTTCAAATCTCTCAACATTGTTGTATTGGGGACCGAATGTCAACATTTTGGTGGGGACAGATCATGTTCAAACCATAGTAATGGATTTTTAATAACCCTGAGACCCACTTTGGTATTAATAACCACAAGTTTTACTTGTGTTTTCTTTAGTCTGCTTACAGTGCCTATAGATCCTCCCAAGCCAGAGTCAGGACCTACTTTTCTGTTATGTTTATGCATTCTTTAGTGGGAAAAAAATCATGGTTTTTCATATTTTGAATCAGTTTTAAAATCCAAGAGTATCTTCTGCGGACACACACTTCAGGATGTTTTCCGAATCTAATAGCTTCTGACCAGTTGCTTCGCACACACTCTAGTTCAACCTGCCACTATCCATTGCCTGGACACTTTGGGGCACTTCTCTGTGCCCCTTCTTTTCATATTTGCCTCTCTCAGTTCAACCTCCACGCAGCCGCGGAGTGATCCAGATGTTAACAGTCCCATTAAAAGCCCCTACAACAATTACTGCTTTGAAAGAGCAAGCTCCTGACTATGTGAAAGCCTTATCCAGATCATCCCCACTATCTCTCCACTTCATTTCCATTTCCTGCGGAGGCTGACAAGTAAAAAATATGCAGTGTGGGCCAGCAGGCTATGGACCTAGGGAAGATGTCGCAATTAAGAGTCCAAAGGTTATCTGTGATGAAACCAAGAAAGACATAGTTCCAGATGGCTTTGGAAAGTGGTATTCTGGAGAACTTTCACAAGCTTCCAGAGGGGCCAATCCTTTATATTACTCAGACCTTCAACTGACTGGTTGAGTCCCTCCTGCCTTGTGGAAATTGATTTGTTTTACTCAATGCCCACCAATTTCAATGCTAATCTCATCTCAGAATACTTCACGGAAACCCCTACAATAATCTTTGGCTAAATATCTGAATGCTCTGTAGTTTATACAACTTGATACATAAAATTAATTATATCATACTTTCCTTATGTAAAAACCACACCAAGTTTACCTGTGCCTCAGAGCCCGTGTCCTAGAATTCTTTTCTACTGTACATTCTTCCTGGGAAAAGCTTCTACTTTGCCTTGTTCACTAACCTAGTTCAGTGACTAGAACAACTCCTAACTCCTAGGAATAGCCCCCAAAATCTACACTGACAAAGTAGATGATTAAGGTACTACCTTAATCTGCTCAAATAAGATGGTATACTCAGACCTCAGAACTCCAGAGATCTCTGGGTTGTGTGATACTAGAAAATCAGTAGAATCTTGTTTGAAACATCTCCTCTGGCACCATCAGAGAGACAGCATGATCTGTGCCCTCCTTGTCACCCTTCATTAAATAACGTAGATTAGAACTTTGTTTTCGAATGGTTAACACTGAGGGCACATATTTCCTGAAGACTTCTCCTCTGTTCTTGTTACCTAATGGTATTGATTAGACCAATTTGGCAGACAACTTCCTGGGCCCCAGTTATGAAAGACTCTAGACCTTGACCTTGAGGAACTAAATCGGAGTACATCAGAGGAAGAAGGGATCTTCAAGATCAGAAAATCCACAACATATTTTCCTGGATGAAAAAACTGAGGTTAGCTGAGAGGAAGTACTTTTTTGCAAAGCCAAAAACCCCAAAAAAGAGTTCAGCTCAAAAGTTAAGTCTCCAGTTAAAAGTTCAACTTCACAGAAGGCACAAATTTCCACAGAAGAAATGTGCCTGTTAGTGCTGAGTGACAAGTCTGAGCAAAGCCATGCTTCAAGGACTTGGGAGAAGGAGGATGTCTGTGTGAATGTGTCTGTGTATAGAGAAAGGAAACTTTATGGGATTCAGAAGACAAAATGTGTTTTGTCTTCCTCTCAAGTCCAAAAACAATCATAAGCAAATTATAGAGATCAAGAGATAAACATTTGAAATATCTTTATGATTAACCCTGATTGGAAAATCATGTTTCATATGTGTAGCCACAAATCTTGCTAACATTTTATTTTTCAACTGTAACCCTCAAGAATAAGTTATTCAAAAAAGAGTTTAATCTAAAGAATAGAAATAAATACCAACAGTCATGGCTCAGTATTGGTCCAGATCAGGTGTAAAACAAAGAGAATGAATCTGCACTGTTTATAGTCTTTTGAAAAATCTTTAATATCACTATCGTGACTGCCTTGATGTCCCGAATTGACTCAAAACATCTCCTTTTCATGTTAATTTAGGCTTTGGGGGACAGCCAAAAATCAAATGGTGCTAGATCTGGTGAATGCTATGGATAAGGAGACACTGTGATGTTTTTGTGACCCGTTTTGCCTTTGGATGGCACTCACCAGTGGCACTCACCATATTTTTTATTACACCTCATAAAGTCATTCATTAAAGAGAACTTTCAGATCTGTTTCAAAAAAATGGCCAGAACAATGAGACAAGTCAGTATGTTTGAAGCAAGGGGGCATATTTTGTAGGGAATTAATGGCAATGTACCTTTTACAACTTAATAAAAATTTAAAATGCAAACATTCACTGTAAGTTTTGATTGCCCCTCGTAAATCTCTCCAGGGAGGAAAAGGATCAGGAGCACTGGTGTGAAAGAGTATGTCATTGCTCAACTAGAGAGAGCAGGTCTAGGTGATGGAGTAATTGATGGGAAGGATGTTTGATCTTCCCTGAGTACAAGCCTTGTTAGCAGACCCAGTCCCTTTTCTGAGTGTTGAGATACTGTCATCCTGCTGGAGCCTCTTCCCATCTTAGTGTGCATATCTAAAAGTCAAGAGTGGTCCTCTATTTTCTTTTGACTCCCTAGAAATTGACATGGTCTCGTTTGACGCACAGAGAGGTCATCTACTCAACTTCAAGAAACTGGCGATCTCAGCTGATCACATATTCTGTAGGTCTTTCTCCTTTCCTGAAACTCCTATTGAGATGGCCTTTGGTATCAGGTGTGAGTTACAACCCCATAATTCTACTTATTTCACATGTGACTTAGAAAATTATCTTCTTCCAATTAATTTCAATGTTCTTACTCATAAAACCGGATGAGAAGATTGCAGGGACAATTAAATCGAATCACTCATGTTAAACAGCTAGTGCAGTTCCTGGGATACAGGAAGCAATTGTCAATTAGTGAGCGCACACAGACCGGCTTCGTGGATGTTCCACCTGCACACACAACACAGCCCCTTTACTTGGTTTATTGCTTTGTTGCCACTGTCTTCAAATTCTCTCTCATTTTCACTTTATAATGAGCTCTGCAAATCATGTAGCCAGTCTTGAGTGTCTGGTTACCCTGGAAATTTGGGGGAACAAGTCACAGAGAAAGAGGTCAGGAAAGAAAAAAGAAAGGAGAGACTAGAGCAGGAGAGTGGAGAAATCTCCATTTTTATTTTATTAGCCAATTTTTCCCAGAAAATTAAAATATAAAAAAAACTCCCTTTTTCCCTACAGGAATATTTCTGTGAGAATTAAGATGGGGTAGAAGGAAAAGAGAGGCTAATAAGTAGGGTTAAAAAATACATAGATTTCCAAGGGAAATTTTAGAGTGTTTAATTATTGTGCTTAAGGATTACCTAGAAAAGAGGAAAAAGCAAAACAAAACTATCTTTTTGAGTGGACAGATCAAGAACACAAAACCAAATAAAATTGCTATAAAATGTAATACTGTGAAAATCCTTAGTTGAAATATGTGTGTAAAATTTTTAATGGAGAATAATACATAACTTATCCAAGCAGGCAGAAAAGTAATTTTTTATAGGAATCTACTTGGTTGTTCTGAACTTGAGGTTAATTTAAAATATACCCATATCTCGTTGAAGACATTGGAGACCTAAAATTTTGAGATGATAGTAGGCTCTTTATAAATTCATGTTGATTGGTGTTATGGTGTATACCTAAATGTCCTCCCAAAGCCTCAGGAATCATAAGTGGTGGGGTTTGGGAGAGGTGACAATCTGGGGACCTGATATTCATCAGTGAATTAGTCCCGCTAAGTCTATAGCTAAATGTAATGTTGGGAGGTGAAGCCTGGTCAGAGGAGATGGGTCACTGGGGGCATGGTCAGAAAGAGTCTATCTTCCTCCCCACTTCAATTTCTCTCTGTCTCCTGTCTGCCACACCTTGAGCTCTTTCTCCTCTGCCATACCACCCTGCCTATGGACTGAAACTCTACACACTGTGAGCCAAAATAAACTTTTCCTCCTTAGAGTGTTGGGTGTTGGGTATTGTGTCTCACAACAAGGAATTAAGGGACACAATTAGTAATTATTCACTTCTCTTTACAGCTGATGGGATTATCCCTCCAAGGCCACACCTCCCAGGAAGTAACTTCTTTCTACTGTGTAATGTTCTACCTGTTGGTACAACTCCAAACAGCCCTTACTTCAGGTCAGTTCTCCATCACCTAGGACATTTGTCCTTCATCCCTAAGACATTCTTCCTCAGTGTCAGCCTTCCCAGCTATTAGCCAATTCTTCTGAATAGGTTCTAGATTCTGAATAGGTTTCTTAAAATATGGTGCCTGAACTTTAAACAATTCTCTGAATATATAGGCAGAAAAGATGAGAATAAAGTGAGTGACAAATTTCTACTTTTATGGCCTTCAGTCGCAATTATTTTATCTGATGGCTACGGTGTGATCATCGAGGAACAATTAAAGGTGGAAGGTTTTTCACTAACTCATGGTCTTCATGGCTTCTATAAGCTGCGGGCTGTGTATATATGTAGTTTAGGGGAAGTAGGAATCCAATTTCTATGGGGTTCTCAAAGGGTTCTTGGCCTGAAAAGTTTGAAAAACTTCTAAATAAAAACTATAGTAAAAGTGACTTGGTGCAAAATAACTTTTTAAAGACAAATGGCAGAGGTAAATTTCTTTAAAATGACACCTAAAATGCTTAGAATATTTTGTAGACACAGACACGTCATTTTGGCTAGTGTTTTAAGGAAGAGACAGGATCTTTTCTTTCCATTTGGGTAAGCTGACTGGAATTTTTGTGTTCATTTATAACTATCATACTGATAAAAGCATCACATCAGATCTCTAGATTCAGTTTGTTTCAAGTGAGTGAAAAATGTTAAAGACACTGGAAAAACAACATGAATTCAGAATTTTAGATTTTTATAAGTACCTGGTAGACATTTATAGTTGTCGTGCTCACATTTAATAACATTTATTAAATGATTTGCCTTTCTCGAATCTTTTCAAAATGCTCAACTTAGATGAATCAACAACTCTAGTCATATACCATCCACGTAAGTAATGTGGCACTAAATTATGTAACAAATATTGTTGGAGACTACAAAGGGGGACTCCATGAGTAGCACTCCTCCTTTGCACCCAGAATCTGAAAAACATGAAAATAAAATTAAAAGCAAATACTATACCACAGTCAGAATACCACTTTCGTAGTAATAGAAGCCAGAGTGGAAGACTTGACTTGAATTCTTTAGACAAGCTGATAACGTGATTTGGATGGGCTGGCCTTCCCACATGGGCAGAGGGGTTGGGGGAGCCAAAAGCAAGAGCAAAGATGAGCCAGCCACCCCAGGTATTCTACCCAACTTTGCTATTCATAAATTACCCCGTCTCCTAAGGGGTAGAGTGCATGAAGAAGAGGAAAGCGTTTAGAGAGCAGTTAGGGAAAATCCCTCATTGTGGAATCAGAGGAATGAGGCAAAGGAATTCCCCTTTAACAGTAATAGCTGTACGACTAACTTCAGCATGTTCAGGAGCAGATCGTCTGAAGCCCTGAGCACATGTGTGTGTCACTGCCTGGCTTCACCAGAGAACCAACAGCAAGCTTCTGAGTGGGTGTGTGTGGTCATTATGCTTCCCAGAAGCAGAAGCGATGGGCGGTGCCAGCTCCTCCTCCTCCTGAGTCATAGAAGTCAGTTAAGAGAGCTTCTGAGAGTCAGGACTATAAATAATACCCAGGCAAGCCTCATCCTGTCCGCAAGAAGCATATGCAGGAGTTCAGTGCTTAGTATTTTTACATTTTATTTTGTTTTATTTATTTCAAAATAGGATTTTAGTACATCATTCACTTTTCATGGATGGTAGGAAACAAATGCTTTCCCTGCAGGCAAAATTGAACACTTACATTTCTAAAAATTCGATTGGTTTTAGGATGCTGTATGACAAGAAACAGTTTATAAGTACTAAAGTATTATCAGAAGGTGTAGAAAGCTATTAGCATAAAGTTTATGCCCATCAGATGTGATGACAAATATCTTTTGCAAAGACAAAAAAATATGAAAATATGTTGACTTCTCAGAAAATCTTTGCTAAAATTTTGTCTTAAGCAAATTTATTAAAACATAGATATTTGCTTAAAATACTTTTTCCCACTTCAAAGGTTTGCAAACATGACCTGGTATTGCAACTGCTTTTTAAAGACCTAATTGCCTTTGTTTGCAAAGTTCTTAAAAGGGAGCAAAGCAATTATTTTAAAATGTCATTCTTATTTTAAACATTTCAAACCTCAAGATAGAAAACATGCATATGCATCACAAAAACGTATTTGAACGTGTTCTGATTCTTACCTTAGATGAGCCAAGTGGGAATATTCTTTAAACTTTCCTTCCAAGAAGGAGAAAAATCCCTTATGGTCTTCTTTGCAAAGCAGGTACTGCTTTTGTTTTTCATTATCTAGAGTAAAGTCTTCCAACTTAGTCCTTCCCTTCCTCCTATCTCCACTTCCACCATCACACTAAATATTTGTGCTTGCTCAGTGCTTCTGTGCGTTTGAAGACAAGAATGTTCAGAAAGCAATTCTATAACTGCCAGTATGAATGTTTTTAAAAGCACATATCTAAGAAAGGTCTGGGAGATTGAAATGGAGACTAGACCAAAAAAAACCAAAACAAAAAAAATCTTAACAAATTTGCAAACACATATAAGTGTTAGAGTTCTGACTTTTCAAAGTCAAATATACACATAAAATGATTAAAATAGATGCACACAGCAGAAAAGATTGCTTCCCTTGGTCGCAGGAGAACCTGCACTGGTTGTTGCTTTCATTTCAGTGGAGCTATATTGTGATCTAATGTACTGTTCTCATATTATTGGTCACCAGCCAGTACTTGGGTATGAAATCAACTTAATGGGTCTCCATAATTTAACAAATAAATAAATAGAATAGAATGGAAAAAATAGAGTGCTTCAAATGTGGTAACTATATATTGTTTTTGTGAAAATTGTGTTTGGTTTATGTATTATATACATGTGGGTTGCCTTGCCCCTGCCTTCCTCCCTTTTGTATTTTTTTGAGACAGCATCCCTCTATGAAGCCCACGCTGACCTCAAATGAACTCACACTTCTCTTGCCTCAGCCTCAAGTGCCAGAATTACAGATGTGAACCACCACACTGGGAAATGTAATATATTTCTTAATGTAGGATGCTGGTTCTAAAGTAGTTGGAAATAAAGGGGGAAATCCCCACAAAAAACAGTAAGCAAGAGAAATAAGAAACTAAGATCACTTTTCTGGTTTAGATCTTAAATGGCTCCCAAAGGTCCAGGTGCTGAGCGCTTTGGTTGGTAGCCTGGGGCATATTGGGATTGATTGAAGCTCTAAGAGGTGAGGCTCAGTGGGAGAAAGGTGGGTCACTGGGGGTGTGACCTTAAGAAGGAATTTGGTCACTGACCACCATGCTGTCTTCAGATTGGCTATCTACCTAAACTGTACCAATAAACTTAATTGAAAAAAAAAAAGAAGGAATTCGGGCATGGCCCTTTCCTCTATCTCTAGCTGATGACCAATCACCATGAAAGGAACAGCTTTTTCTCTGCCACCTGTTCCCTGCCACGTTTCCCTGCCTCGCTACAAGCCCAAAAGCAAGAGGGCCAACTGACCATAGACTGAAACCTCTGAAACAGTGATCCAAAATAAACCTTTCCTCCCTTTGCCATGGAAATCTGGCTAACGAAAGCACTGATTATTTCGCTGCCCAACTGTGGCCTTCGTATTCATACTATTGCATTTGACCAGCATAGCACATTTGACACTGTTGACCACGACCTCAAATATCTACCTGAGAGTCAACTCTCCTTTGACTTCTTCCATATCTCCTCCCTATCTTTCCCCTCTCTTGCTCACCCTTTATTAGCTTGTATACAAATTTCCTTGCTTAGGGAAATACCCTTTGTCTCCTCTCTACCCCTCCTATCCTTGTCTCCTCTCTCTCTCCCTCAGGAACCTTATCCTCTAGTCGACTAATTACTTGCAGTTCATCACTGGGAATTCCATCCCCATTTCCTTTATCTAAATTGTTACTCTTCCTTGACAAAATGCCAGTATGTTTCTAAAGACGTACTGCTCAAAAATCCTTTGATTATCACTTGTGGGAGACCCTTGCAGTCAGGTTCCGGTACCCACCCACTCAGTGCATAGCACAGGCCTGAGAGAGAACTAGGAGACAGAACTAGGAGACAAAGAGGGGTGCCAGGACTTGGTGTAACTGACAAAGGTGCTGGAAAGTCCCAGGCATTGACTTTTATTGGCAATCATTTGGGGTAAAGGCAATGTGTGGTTTCTATGGAAATGAACGCAAACTTGCCTGAGAAAGGACAAGACAAAGCTTTCTCAAATTAGGAACAGAATAGACAAAATATATGATTGCAATTAGGACATTGTCCTTCTAGTCTGAAGGTTTTAATTGTGGGAATGGAATTTGGGTGCGAGTTACTCTGACCTTTGGCCAAACTCACTTCTATAAACAAGCCACTTGTGGGGTTAACTCTTCACAGCCTGCTTTGGGGATAATCAATATTACCGTTCTCTGCAATCACTAACATTGCAGCACATGTCTATATGTTACCAGTCTATCATCTGTCTATATTACTAGTATGTATGTTAAAAGTTTAGAGAAAGACTTCCCCTTTACTTTGAATCCATGCATAGTTTTCTCTTCCCTTTCTTCCCCTCCCTTTTCATTTTAGAATATGCCAGTCCTAAATCAACAAATTCACTTTATTACCCATTACCAGTAATGGGTTTCAATCTGAAATGGGTCATAATCCATTTATGGAAAAACACAATGGAGAGAGATGGAAGCTCCTTTTGAAACCAAGTCTCCCTTCTTTGTGTGTCTTTTCTGGGGTATTCCTGGCCGTGTACAGTGCTCCATGGACAGGCCTTGACAGTAAGCCACTATAGGATCTTCTTAGCACTTCTTACTCACTAGCTCCATAACTTGGGGAGGTTCACTCGTTCAACTGATACTAATGAGCATCGATTCTGTTGAAATCAATGTGTTGGACCCTGGAGATGCTTACCCTAGATAAATAGCTAGACACACTGCACCTCTGATCTCACGGGGCTTGAATGCCTTTGGCCCTCTGGATTGTACACCTTCCTGTTTAATTTGGTTAAAGTTTATCCAGTTGTGATAACCTGGAGGATCTTATTGTTTTTCTTAAATACTTCAGATTGAACCCAGGGTCTTTGCATTGAGCTATACTTCCAGCCCCCTTTTATATATTTTTTTATATTGACACAGGATCATGCTAAGTTGCTAAATTGCCCAGAATGAGCTAGAACTTGCAAGCTTTCTGCCACAGCCTCCAAAGAATGCTACCAGATTACAGGTGTGTATGGCAACTCCTGGCACTGTGGGATCTTTTTGCAACTTATCATGCAATCATTTCCAAGTGAAAAATCCAATTATATTTAAAATGAAACATTCCCAGAGATATGAAGAATGTTAGCTTCTATAATTTTATGCAATTTATGAACATTTTTTCAAGTCCTGGTGGAGTCAAGGATAAAACTTACTGCCCACAGAAAGCCAAAGTAGAGTCAGTTCCATCATTTCCTAAGCATCTTCGGTTAAGATTTGCATACTTCTCATCACCATCCCAGTAGATTGCAATCTCCTTAAGAGGAGCTATGATCATATCTTACTTTTTGTTCATTGCTATTATTTGTGCAGGGAAGTGCTCAATACATATTTTAGTCATTAGTAGGTTGGTGGGTAACATTCATAAAATGAGTCCCTCATTTTAAAACATGAATCTCAAAAGGGGAGAAGAAACTGCCAAGATCTCATACACACACAAAGTTCCTGTACAGGTAAATTTTCACCTCTAATTTTGATCCGGTGCAGAGACAGTTATGTCCACAGTTACAAAACCTGTTCTAATTTCACCATATTCACCTATGGTTAGTTTGAATAATATACTAGAAGCTAACAAAATCCACTATTGCTTTTTGAGATTGCTTTTATCAGCACTTAATACCCATCCTATTTTAAGATAATTACATGAGATAGTCACAGCTAATTAACATAGTTTTTTAAAATAAAGATTAAGTGGAAAGAAGTTATCAGTGACTTTAAACGCAGATTGTTTTCTCAGCTGGGAGAGCTGTTTTCTCCTGGGTCTCCTCCGATTCACTGCCTCCTCCAAAGTCCTCAGCTTGGCTCTCTCCTCCCCTGAGCTGCCCGCAGCCTGGGACAGTTGGTGCAGCTTGTGTTGACTTGATGTCACCAACTATACTGTTTGATCTAAAGCTTTTGGCCAGAATGGAACAGAGTGACAGAACAAAACAGCCAGCTGGCATTGTTCTTTCTCATGGGGCCTCTCTGTCGCCTTGGTTACTCAGCCGTGTTGGAGGAAGATAAGGGAAGAACGTGGGACAGGAGACTGGACTTCTTCAGGTCCCGGCCTGAGATGCCAAAGCAGAAGGTTAGTAAAGGGTCCAGAAGGCTGAGTGCAGGCTCAGCACCACTGCCCACCAAGACTCATGCAAGGTGGGCCAAACAAAGCAGCTGTTCCTTTGGAATTCAACTTGTACATCTTGTACCTTGCAGTGATTGCATTGTCATTTCAGTTTCACTTGGCTGATAGTTCACCGTTTTTTGCACACTTCCAGAGAGGGTGGCTCATAGATAACAACGCAAGACTGGAGTCAGCATTGCTCCCACACAGCATGGAGAAAACTCTCACTTTACTAATGTCACAAAACACAACGATGTGTCTTCCCTTATTCAGGGAATGATATATTATCTCCAAATGTTTCTGAAATGCTCCTGGAAAGTTTTCAAACATATTTCCAGAAGGTATGTCCTCCACTCATTGGTGAAGGAGTTGGCAGCTCTAGTTTACAAGCAAGTTCAAGTGAGGCATCTGTGTGTATAAATCAATTGACAATGTGTGGTTTTCTGAAGGCAAAAAGTAACAGGAATATAAAACGCGAAGTTAGTTTCTATTTTTCCCTATTTGAATATGTAGATGGAACCACCGTAAAATGTTTACTTTTATTCACAAGTAAGGGAGTAAAAAAGAAGATGTGTCCAAGTATAGTAGAATATACACATCCTTTGGGCAAATATAGCATTGCCAAACACACAGTACTGTTATGTGAAGATCAACTTAATTCATGTTAAATATAAATGAGAATGAGTCCATGAACCTTAACGTAAGTCCTAATTCGGATCTTGACTTGCTGAGTGACCTGCACAAGTATGTCCCTACTTTGATCTCACTTTTTTATCGTCAAAGTGAGGAGGGTGTCTATGGCAACAGAGCTGTGATACAGATTAAGTACAATAAGACAACACATGCAAGGGGCCATCTCCTCACACAGGAGTTGGCCCAGTCAATCCGTGGTTGCTATTATTTGCTATCTTACTTCTTGTCTTTGCTATAGAAGCTTCGTATGGGCTACAGGAAGCCAAGGCCCTATGTGCTTTATTCATCTCTGTACTGAGAAGTGCTTAGGAGCACAGACAGAGAGGCAACACTTCGTTGTTCTTCCAGACATCAGTCCCTACTTTTTTTTTTTTTTTCCTTTTTTGACCCATGAAGGACACACTTTGCCTCTCTCTGCATCGGGGACCTCTATACATCATCTCCTGAGCTGAGGTCCTCAATGACTGAGCTGGCTCCAGTCAGGAATCCTCAGCTCTGGGTCAGGTGGTGGAAATTTCTTTCATGCATGTTCCATGTACATAGCTGAGCATGGCATTTATAGGTCTATTCCAGGCCCCACGATTCAGTTACCTGTGCAACTCTGCCCCTTGTCATTTGGCAAACTGTTGAGTTCCAGACATTGTACAAAGGTAGGGACACAGAGCTGAGAAAAACACATTTTGTGTTCTACAGGAGCTTAGAACCTGCTGGGGAGGAGAAACTGGTAGCATCAATGTACGATTTCTGATTCCAGGGACAGAAAATGAACACACAGGCCAGCTTTATTTCTGAAGCTTCAGACTCATGTTAACCACGACTAACCATTGCTTTCTTCTTCTAAACTGCCATGTTTTGAATGTACTCCCCCTCAAAAATCATGTTTAGAGTCCTAGTTGCTCCAAACGCAGCATTGGAAGGTGGGGCCCAGTAGATATTTGTGTCATGGAGGCGGAGGCCTCCTGAGGGGCCAGTGATTTTCTGGAGAGAGTGAATTCTCAGTCTCGCAGGATTGATTCAGTTAACCTGTGAGTAGGTTGTGATAAAGCAGGTCCACACCTGTGTTCTTAGTCTTCCTCATTCTCACTTCCTCCGCACTCTCTCTTCTTCTCCCTCCCATTTCTTTTCAGCTCTACTCCACGAGTTGATGCAGTATGAGGCCCTCGCGGGAAACCACGCAGACACTGGTGACACGTTCTTGGACTTCTAGGCCTCCAGAATTGGGAGCTCAACAAACCCCTCTCCTTTACAATTCACACAGTCTCCGATATTTTATTCTAGCAACAGATATGGACAAAGACACTTGCTGTTTGTATGCTGCTTAATCTAATGACACCTTTGTTGTCTACTTTCTTGTTACCCTAAAGTGGGATCGCTGGGTCAGCAGCATCTGTACCCTGGGGAGCTTGTTAAGAATGAGAAATCTCAGCTCCCCTCTTGGACCTACTGAATTAAAATCTACAATTTAGCAAGCTTCTTGGTGGAGTGTTATGCTTTGATCTCTGTGAAGGTTTTGGATAGGGTAACTGAGGTGACGGGCAGTAATGGGCATATACAATTAGTTTTCTTTTCTGCTAAGGTGTCATTTCAGATGAGTGTTATCTTTAGTGACCTCAAAGTTACACCACAGGCTACAAGACACTTGTAAGAGACCTGGTGTAAGTAAGTAAGTAAGTAAGAGTCCTGCCTGAGAGACACTGCTTCTAGAGCCTTCCATTATGAGGCTGACCAGTGGGGAAAGAGTTCCAGCTGGACTACAATTCCAAATTCATTCCTCATGTAAAAGAATAAACTCCTCTGCTTTGCTTAAGAGCACCAGAGAGAGGGCTGCCACTGAGCAGTAGAAAGTATCTTAGCATAAACAAATAAAAGAACAGTACCCTGGGAAATACGTTCACTACAGAAGTAAACAGAAAAGTGGTCAGCCTGGTCAGTTGGGCAAATATCTCAGTAAGAGAATTGTAGTCCTCAAAAGGCGTACCAGACGCATCTAGTAGCCTATGGGTTAGGAAATCTAGATAGCGTTCCATACAGCCAGCACACATGGGCCCATCTATTCACATTCAGTAATGATTTTTAGAAACACACTTATTAGTGTACCTAGGGAGGCATCACTTTAGACTGTACAAAATTAAAGACTGTATCACCGACTTCTAGAGTAGAGGAGGGAAAATAGGTGCCCATGTACTTTGCAAATATGAAAAGTTAGAACCTTAGGGACAGCTTTGACAAAACTCTTTAGAATTAAGATTGTGCATTTAAAAGCACCAGTATACATATATACATACATACATGTATAAACACATGCATATACTATCATTGTTCATTAGCAAAATAAATCATTTAAAACTGTAAACATTATACACTGTGAGCTTTATGCAGCCATTAAAAGATAAATGACAGTTAACCTGGAAGAACAGCTACCAAGTGTCATGAAGAATAGTGGATGTAGCAAAATATGAAAAATATATCATTTTTACACAATAAATTACAACAATAATAAACATCCAAAGCTGATACCTTCATTCCTCATCTGCAGATCCACTTCTCTCTCTTTCTACTCCACACGGACACTGATCCTTGGGGAAAACACCAACAGGAGTCCCAGGTCTCGGGCATCTACTCAGGCTCAGGCAATCAGAGCCCGGCAGATAATGGGAGAGCAGTAGGAGAGGGAGGCAGGGGTGGCTGAGTCTCCTAACCCCATGGCTTCCCTCAAGACAGCCCCTTTTGCAGGACTTTCCTCCAGGTTCTTCTAACCAGCTCCCTTCCTCCTTCAACCTGGGGTATAATTCCCGTACTTCTAGTTCTTGATGCCATCTCTGTACTTTATATTATAATCCCATTATTAAGCTCTTTTTGGCACAATTTTTCTCTCTGTACTTTTATAAATAATTCTGTTATTAAGCTCTTTTTGCATGATTTTGTTTGGAAGTTGCCACGTTTCCTTCTGAGCCCCTGGCTAACAGCACTTCTATCCATATTGACATATGCAAGTTCATCATTTTATACAATGATATAACTATGGCAAGACATAGAAGGGTGTTGTGTATGTACTATGTAGTTAAATGAGGCATAAAGAAATTGTATGAAGAAGGTAATGTGCTGAGGACAATGGGGAGTAGAACAGAGGAGAGGGGCTGAGCAAAAAGGAAAAGAACAAATTAATCTGTAGCACATGAACCAAAAGCAAATGTAAACTACACTCTTAGTGTTAATGTATATACAGTCATACATATGTGTGCATGTATTTATATAGGTGTATGAAGTAGCACATTTAATTTTTAAAATTCGGTGGCCAATATGGCAAAAGGGACTACACAGTACAGATTTCATGGCTCCCCAGGTTGTAGGGGAAGTGGAGTGAAATACTGAATTTGTAGTTCTGTAAGGCAAACTGAAAATTTTCTAGTGGGAAGCAAGATGTCCCAGTGGAAGATGAGTTTCTTAAGCAAAATGACAGGCTTACAGAGAATAAGAATTCTTCTCTTAGTGAGTGACTATGTTCAAAGAGATCAGAGAGTCACACATCTTGAAAACTCTTAGAATGAATCCTAGCTGTAGAAAAGTGAGAAGGAACAAAATCATAGGAAAATACCCAGTGTTATATTGGGAGAGGTTTCTATTTGTAGGACAGAACAAAGAAACACACACGCAATGTTGGTCAAACAGCACTGCACGTTATTCTGTGATAAAATGAAGACATGATGAGATGGGACACCCAGGATTTGAGAGAATGGTTGACTTGGCATAAGACCAATTTTATTAGCCAAGAATGACAAGATATATTGAAGAGGTGTCAGAGCTGTGAGAAGTGTATAAAGCAGAAGTCCAGAGTGGAGAGGGCTGCCAAACTAATGAAGGCGGTGCCTCATGCTCCAGAGGAAGGCTGTGCATTTAGTTTCTGTCCCTTCAATCAGACTCAGTGAAACTCAGAAACTCTTCCCTATTAAGACAAAGTAATTGCAGCACAATGACCACAAAGAGGCCAGTGCATTATGGAAACATTTTATAAGCCATTATTGGTTTTGCTAAAGGTCTTTAAAGATCAGAGGGCCAACATTAAATCTGAGTTAATCACAGATCTAAAGGGAAAGACTGAATTTT